GTCTGTCTACATGAGGGGAAAAAGCGCTGATGAGCTGAAAACACTGGTAAACATGTAAGTAGTGGAGGTTAGTGATCTCTATTGGGAGATTCTGTTCAAATAAAAGTGTAATAGAGCCAAACGAGCAATCCATGCAAGTCGATGTTCTCTTTATTAGTGCTTATATGAAAGTGCAATAATCCTGATGAAATCTTAATAATAATAATAATAATTGTGATTATATTTTTGAGCAAAGTAATTGTGATTAACTGTTTAACCATTATCATGCAGCCCTACTTCGTACATTAATGGTATACAGTATATGAAAAGTGGGGATATCGTTTTGTTTTGGGATCTTAGTGGATTGGATCGTGAGCCACCATAAATGCAGAAAAGCAGTAGATTGTGCATGCAACCATAACACTTCCGCCTCCCCTTTCAGATTGGCTGGCCAATTTGTGTGTTTTCAACAGTTAATTCTCAAATTATTACATTAATTCCCTCACCTTAAAGGGGTAATATGATGTTGCTAAAAAGAACATTATTTTGTGTATTTGGTGTAATGAAATGTGTTTATGCGGTTTAAGGTTCAAAAAACACATTATTTTCCACATACTGTACATTAGGGCTGCATGATTAATCGAATGCGATTGTCATAGGAAAAATTGAAATCGCATCATATGACCCCTTTAACGTAGGTACGTGTAATATCCTTGCTCATACCATCCCAGGACCCCCTCAAAAATAATGTGTACATTTAATACACTGAGATCCAAGTCTCATTGTAGTAATGTTGTATTTGAAAAAAAGAAAAAAAAAACTAACTTTTTGTTAGTGGCCTCCTAATGGCCTAGTAGGACATTTATGTTGTTATTCCTCAAAGAAAATAAAAGATATAAGTTTAATGTTTGAGATCTTGTGATGGAACTGTCAATTTATTTCTGTCATATTTAGAAGTTTTTTAATCAAAGTCCTCAGAACAGTCTTTATTTGGGCTGGTCATATAACAGAGAAGACAAACTACAGTTCACTTGCATCTACCTGAGGACCCAGTCAGGAGTCAAGGCTGTCCAATCAGATCAGTGCTTGTATGTGTACATTTGTGATGCATGTCATAATTATCACTGTTATACCTGTGGCTTTAATTCCCTGCATGCAGCATGTAAAGGGTTGTGTTTTGTGTGGATACGCGTCTGTGTTTGCACAAGTGTGTATTTTGTGTCTTGTATAGCAGGTCTAATTACCGAACAGTAAGTGCAGGAGCTCTTTGACCTTTATACAAGATTCCTGGTGGGCGGCTCATCTGCCCTGCTCTCCACCGACTCATTAGCTAATATTTATAGCACACTGCTCTGACAGCAGTCTAATAAACGTACCTGTGTCTTTATTTAGTCCGACTTACCTGTTCTGTCCATCCTTCATGTGCACAATGTAGTCTCTTTTCCTCTTATTTCTCTCTGGGGGTCGAGAATAAAGGTCAGTCAGTTGTATCAGCTCAGCGTTTAGAAGAGAGGTCACAACCTGTGTTGGGGAGTCGGGGGTCCAGGTCTTTGTTCAGCAGGGTTCTGTGATCTGTTGACCTTGGCAAAGTATTATTGAGTGAATAAATAAATAGCCAATAAATTAGAACAAGGTAATGACTGTGGATTATTAGTAAAAATTTATGATTATCTGATTGTACAAATCAACAGATGTGCAGAAATCATGATGGGATTAACACTGATACACACACACACACATTTATAGATAGATAGATAGATAGATAGATAGATATTTAGAGATATTTTTTCAACACTGTATATTTCCATACAAGTTCTAAATATAATTTCTGCAAAAAAAAAAGAAAAAAGATTGTGAATAAAGCAGCATCTTGTGTTCAATAGAACACAATTTTCACTTCAGGCAAAATACAATTGAATTTATATCAAAATATAATGCTCAAAAATTCATTTCACAAAATTCACCCTCATGTTGTTCCAAATCTGTATGACTTCCTTTCTTCAGCATAATATAATAGACCTTTTTTTTTCTTTATCTTTCATTTTTGGGTTAACTATTTAAATGTAAATAAAAAATTTAATAAATTACGTTTTGACGAAACACACTGACAAAAAATACTGTAGGTCAGATGATATTTTCGTCTGATAAAATTATTCATTCTTGGGGCTTTTTAAAATTTGCTTTTAAAAATGTATTTAGTAAATATGTTTCGTTCATAGTTTATGCACAATTCTGCTTACCAAATAAAAAGTTGTTTTATACACATTATGGAAATTTTATTTCAATTGTAACAATTTTATTTAAAATTTAAAAAATGACAACTACATTAATTTTATTGTTTCTATCCAGCATTTTTAGTTTGATATCCAAAAATAATCTGATATCTCCAATTTGTATACATGGATTGAAACCTGGCTGTTGATATCCACTTTGTCCCAATCGCAGCAGAATGTATTATAATGTAGCAAAATTTATTATAACAGGATATTTTGCTAAAGCAGCATTTTATAATGAATGAGAAATGTATGAGATGTATGAAAAAATGTAACAATAACTACTGACAAATGTCACCAATGTATTATACAGCTGGAAGTATTCTTAGTTGCTTTAATACTAGCCACAGTTCTCTAAATCTGTACAAAACAGTAACTCCAGTGGGGTGAATGGTCCTGCTCTGTGATGGCTATGCTTCTGTTTCTCCTGTCTGTGGTGTTCAGGCCACCTGCCATAAATCTGATCAAACGGGAAATGTTTCCGGCAGGATAAATGGCCGCCTCTCACAGGGGAGCCAAGATTGATAGTCAAAGTTAAATTGTATTAGCTGTGCAGTTTAAATATTTAACCCAGTCTTATCATAACTGCTCTTAACACTTAAAGTAAAATACAGCAGGGGTGTCTGGAGAGGGATCTGTGGACATATATCTCTCACCACCTTCATGTTCCTGCAGTGCTATTGTCCAATAATACTTAAATGGCTTGACTTATTACGAATGCTCATTATAAAGCTAACCCTAACCCTAAGCTCTAAAAGATTCTGGGTAATAACAGAGTCACTGATAAGTGTTTTCATGAAGGCCACTGTGGGTTTGTGAGCTGCATTGCTATTAACATAAGGATCAGTGACATAGTGCTCTTTTTTTGTACGAATCTATTAATGTAAATTCCTATCTGTCTATAAATATAACATGCGCACAATGACTTGAATGCAGTTTTGCCATGTTAAGCATATTTTTTTTATTTCTGAATTAAACATTTTTTATATATTTTTTGAGGAACATAAAGTAAAAATGTCAGGTGATTACAACTGCCCTGATATCATAATGAAGAAAAAAGCCTCATTAAAAAAAGAAAAGAAAAAGAAAAGAAAAATCCATCAATTCAAAGTCATGCAGTGTGACCTAAATTCTGGTGCAACCAACATGCAGAAACATGCAAAAAACACAAAAAAGGAAATTATGTAATGAAGAGAATACCTGCAGACCCTCACAAATGTGTTAAAAAAAGACAAATATATATATTTTTTTTTTTTCCAGTTTTTTGGTTTCGGTTGTAGGATGTCCTGTGATACGACTCCCCAAAAATATAGTAATAACTAATAATTTTGAATTCATTATATTTGTAAAAGAAAAGCTTTTACCTTAAAATCATTCTTAGAATGACTGGTTTAAAAATAATTAAGATCTGTATTCACCCATTCAAGCTGTAAGAAAATTACAGTATTCTTTAATAATTAAATTATTATTTTTTTCTTGACTACACCTTGACTGTTTTCATTGCCTTTAAACTTTTTTTGAAAATGCTATTATAAAGGTTTTCCCAAACCATTTAAAATCAAAGATTACATTTCTAAAAACTAGTTTTGACCTCGATTTTTAAAACATGTTTCCTTTTCTCTATTGTGGACATTCATATTTGTCATCGCCCCTTAACCGTTTTCGTCAGCGCTGTTGCTGCTTCTCTTTACTCTCTTTCCTTTCAAATGAGAGGAGATGCTCGTTTATGATTATAATTAGCGATTAGCGTGGTAGCGCGTCACGACGAGTCTAAATAAACACAGCTGCACAGCGGTTCTGTTGGAGTGGCAGATGGGACAGGGAGAGCATGCGAGTACTGCGTTGAGAGAATTTTTTAGCAGAGTAGCATGGCGTTTGCCCTTGGACAGTGCTCTCTCACCTGAAGGTAAATGTTTATGACGGAATCATCATTAAAACTCAGACGTTTAATAGGTCCAATTAAAACAATGACTTCATTTACAGCGGGATGAGAGCTGGCCCTATTTATTGGGAGCTGGAGTAATTGAGTTCTGGGCACTTGGACCGTTAACTCCCTCCTGACTCCTGAGAGCCACTTCAGTTTAAAGGATTGAGGAAGTTTCTGAACACTAGAGGGCGAATGTTTGAGGCTCACGGGAAAACGAATCTAAACACTATTATGTTTAGAGGAGTGTTTAATCAGAGAATTTCAATTTTGAGTTGACAGTTCCCAACTTAAGAGTTACTGTTAAGTTCTGAGAGGGAATAAAAAGCCACTCTCTACTCTTCTTTCCCCCGCGCGTGTCTGTTTTAAGGGATTTATGAGTTAAAGAATGAGCTCCACATGATGGGATCAATGTCGTTAGCTGCGAGATGACGAAGCGGTAGAATATCTCTCCGCGGGCCGGGCGCAGATTGCCACAGGGGCCGTCAACCGATCAATAGCGACAGAGGCGAGCGATTGACTGACGCCGCCCTTTTCCAGGGAAAAGAGAAATGGACGAGGGAGTTGAAAATGTTGAAATAATAGGCCTTGGAGGCTTTGAGAGCGGGGCGAGTGCCGGCCTGTGGAGGAGAGTGATGGGCGAATTAGGGGCGGCTTGGGTTAGCGATTCCATACACACTCTCATGAGGGGTAGTGAAGTGGACCACTTTACCCGTCTGACTATGGACTGAACTGGCGCTGTGTTTACTGCAGTTTTTTGCTGTAGGTCTTTCTCCATAATACATCAATCCCCCTTAACCTTTTCCACTTCTTTGTAATTTCAGTGGCTCAGAAAATAGTTGCAACCCGGAAGAAACAGCAACTGTCAATCGGACCCTGTAAGTCACTGCCCAATTCTCCAAGCCACTCCTCCGTCTGCGCAGCGCCTGTGTCCGCAGTGCATATCAGCCAGGTGAGTCTCACACACTTAAAACACAGTGAACAATCTTTTAGCTCGTTATGTAGAGATCATTTTTGTTTGTTCCCCAAAAGCACCTCTTTGTCTCTACACAAACGGTGTTTTTTTCCCCCCTGCAGACAGTAATCCTCTTCCACATGGCTCAATTCTCATTGATTTCTCATTAGCAGTGTACAAGTGAGCCTGTGTTTGTGCAGCCAAGCTTAGAGAGGCTTAGAGAAGCTCAGAAAAACAGGAGGCTTGTGGCATTTCTTTGTAACGTGAGATTATTTTCTTGCTTGCTTTTGTATGTGATTCTTGCTTTGTGTGTGTGTTGCAGACTAGTAATGGTGGAGGCAGTTTGAGCGATTACTCTTCTTCCGTGCCATCCACTCCCAGTACCAGTCAAAAAGAACTACGTATTGATGTACCCCAAACCGCCAACACCCCTACGCCCGTCCGCAAACAGTCCAAACGGCGCTCCAACCTCTTTACGGTCGGTCTGTTCTCCTATTAGGCATGATTGTAATTGTTAATTAGTGCATTAATGTTATACTTAAAATTGCGACAGTAACAGCAGTCAGTTTGAAGAAGTGTGTTACTTATACCAAATGAATCCAAGACATTAAATGAATTCATATATAAAAAATGTTGATTTGAAAAATAACTATTTATATTTATGTACACTACCATTCATAAGTTTGGGGTCAATAGTTTAATATAAATATAAAGTCAATATTTAAATTAATACTTTTATTTTGTTAGGATGCATTAAATTGATAAAAAATGACAGTTTAGAATATTGAAAAATATTGTTCTTTTGATTTTGTTATTGTTCTTTATCACTTTTCCACAAAAATATCAAGGAGCACAAGTGTTGTTAACATCATAATAATAAGAAATGTTTCTTGAGGACCAAATCAAATATTAGAATGATTTGTCAAGAATCACATAACACTGAAAACAGGAGTAATTGTAAAATTACATTTTAAAGAATGGTTCTTTAAATTGTAATAATGTTTCTCAGTATTCAATTTTGTATTATCAAATCAATGCAGCATTGGTGAACATCTTCTGATAAGGCTTCTTTTAAGAACATAAAAATGAAATAAGTCTTACTGACCTTAAAATTTTGAATGATAGTGTGAGTATGTATAGTTATGGTTATTCACCAATTAACATATATTAGCTTTAGGGGTGTAACGGTTCACAAAATTCACGGTTAGGTTCGATACGACAGTGGTGTCACGGTTCAGTACGTTTTCGATACGGGGTGGGGGGGTTAATTTCTTACGTCGCAATGTTGGAAATATTTTTGTTTTAAACCATGAAGGCGAGCCAATGGATATCACATAAGCAAATTGCAAACTTTGTGCAAGAGTTATGCCGGTGAATGTCTTAATCTTAGTCAATTCACTATACAGAAAGTGCAATTAAAAACGGAATGACGGAGTAATGACGGAGCTTTCGGCATCTGAAGCCACATATTCTCTCAGAGACATGAGAGACCAATCTACTTCAACATATGCTGATAACGGTATATAGCTAACTGTTTTCATTTATCCCCTTAATACTTCTCTTGTGGCCCATACATAGTGAAAAAAAAGAGACAAGAAACGCATTTCGTGTTAAACAGGTTGTTTTTGAAAGTTGGTGCTTGAAATAGGCTAAAGCTTTTTATTCATTGATTTTAATTGATGACTGCCGAGTTAATATTTTAATTATAGGCCTATAATTAATTGTATATACAGTGGTGTGAAAAAGTGTTGGCCCCCTTCCTGATTTCTTATTTTTTTGCATGTTTGTCACACTTTAATGTGATCAGGAAGGGGGCCAACACTTTTTCACACCACTGTAGGCCTGTTTTAAAAGACATTTTTTTAACATTTTAATCGAGGAGTAAATAGCCTAATCTTTTGTTATCCTCACAATGCGTGCCCTGCGTGCCCGTCCACTAGACAGCACGTTGCCTGTTATGTCTTTGGGCTGCCTTGTTGAGCACAGTGGCACTGAGAGCATTATATTTCACACACTTAAAGCTCTTTTAGTTTCCATATGTAATAGGATTAGTCCAACGAATCGTTCGGTTTGTAATGCGTACCGAACCGAAAGCCTCATACCGAACGGTTCAATACGAATACGTGTATCGTTACACCCTTAATTAGCTTATATATGATTTCATTCTATTCATTTCCAGTTTCCAAGTGTCTTCTTCAAACTATCCATTTCATATTTGATATGATCAGTAAAGACTGTCGTTCTTCTGGTCTTGTATGCTCCTTTGTAGTGCACATCCTGCATATGTGCCACATGTCTTGCTTTCAAGAAGTTGTGGGGGTGGGGTCACATCAAGGTCAAGATGACCCCTCCCACACCCCCTTGACTTTTGAAGTCATGTGTGTGCCCTGCACTCCAAACTGGATCTAGTCTGAAGTCAGGCTCAATTAGCAGCTAGCTCGCCTTTGACTAAAATGATGTCTTCTCCCCCCACAGTCTCGGAAGGGAAGCGAACCAGACAGGGAGAAGAAAGGGATGGATGGCCGCGCAGACAGCATTGGAAGTGGCCGCGCTATCCCAATTAAACAGGTAGGGTCTGGCCGGCCGTCTGGACTGGTATAATTGGAGTCCAACAGTGGCGTATTGTGGACGAAGGGGCCTCAGATCAGTACTCAGACCCGTGCAAAGCCCGTTTGATGCCATCTCCTTGATTAACAGTGAAAGCACGCACTTGACATCAATAACAGTAAAGACATTTATAATGTTAGAAAATATTTGTATTTCAAAATAAATTGTTCTTTCAAACTTTCTAATCATTGAAGAATCCTGAAAAAAAAATGTATCATAGTTTCCACAAAATGCTTAACGGTAATGTATTTGAGGTGTAAGGAAAATATGTTATAACATATTCACACAGTAATTAAATTTACTGTATAAATACATTTACTGTGTCTTACAACAATATTTTTCAAAATCGTATGAAACTAACATGAATACAAAGAGTACATTTCAAAAACTTGGCACATGTGTTTTAAAATAGATTTTTTTTTTGTCTTTTATATGTCATTACAATAGACTTCATAGCAAAATTTAAGCTAAAGCAATTTCCTGTATGCGTATAAATCGATTAAGCCTTCAATTTTCGACTTCCTTTGATTTGAGAAATGAGACACTAAATTTATTCGCAATTGTTGTCAGATTTATTGCTGATTTGTAAGGTAGAAACATGATCTTGAAAATACTTTTGGAGATTTTGGTCTTTTCAAGCAGATGTATGCCTATTGTTACCTACATGGAAAATAGCTGCCTAGGAGCATTACCAAGATGGCCGCTGAGCGAATTGCCTGAAAGGGACTTTGGAGGTACTTCTTCTTCGAGGCACACAAGCGAGTGCTAATGCTGCCAGCAGTGATCTCTCACCTCCTGTGGCTCTATTTGCATAAATCCTGTTAAAGTCAGTGGCGGTTAATGAAGAAGAAATTAGGCTGGCCCGGCTACAGCGGTGCTGAGAGCAGGGCGCCGCGCTAGTGGCAGATGGGAAGGCTGAGCCGTAGCAGGCAGCTGTGCGGAGGAGAGAGCAGCATGCAGTTTTAACTATGATCTGACTCTCTTCCGACTGGGCTTGTGCTGCGGCTAATTTGTATGTGCGATGCCAAGAGCGATCAAGACGATAACGTGTGATCTCAAGAGAGAACAACCGTGTTCTACTACTTTAGAGCACGTAATTTACATAGATTACATAGTGCATTTATAATATGTACTTGAATACAGTAGGGAGTGCGTACTAGTTGTATATAGGTACCGAAAGAAAAGTTTTATTTTTAATGTTAAGTATATTAGAGAGCCTTCAGTATAGTGAAACATTAGCGGATGGAGAGTGTGTCGCACGGGGGGCCTGGCGCAGAGCCATATCTCTGAAGCATCTCTCAGCCTCTTGACACTGCAGGTACATAAATGAGGGATTAATTTCCCTGGTGTCAGACAGAGCCTGCCCCACACTTACTCATACACGCACACACTTACGCACACACTCTTGTGCTGATCAGAAGCCCCATCAGTGCCCGAGTCCCTCATCTCATGAGGAGATCAATCAGCCAGCGCAATCAGAGCTCACCAGTCTATGCAGTCCACAGTGTTTGAGTTCTCCCTGCTGTCCTGTCGCTCTCTCGCTAGTCCTTTAGATTCATGGTGGTTTAGACTTTTTTGCATTTTCTTTGCTGACTTTTTGGAAATGTTTTAACAGATTTAAGTAAGATGGCACATTTTGGGGGGAAATCATATTGCGTGAAAACATTTTTTTTCAGGTAACATTAGTATAGGGACCAATTCTCACTATTAACTAGTTTCTCATTAGCATGCCTATTATTAACATATTAGCTGTTTATTAGTACTTATAAAGCACATATTCTTCATGACCATATTCTACATCCCTAATCCTACACCATACCTAAACTTAACAACTACCTTACTAACTATTAATAAGCAGCAAATTAGGAGTTTACTGAGGCAAAATTCATAGTAATTGGTTTGTTAATGGCAAGAATTGAACCTTAAAATAAAGTGTGACCTTTTTTTATATACTGCAACTGGGATTTGAACTGCAATATGATGAACGTTTATCGCTCCGATATCCAGGTAAAATGAAAAAACTCATGCAGTCACATTGTACTTGTACTTAATGTGGACTCAGATCTTTTTTTCTTAGTTTACTTGTTAGTTCAATCTTCTTTTACTTTACTGTTTTTGGAACCCAATCAACATGAATTAAAAAAAATAGCAATAATATACGTTTTAATATAATAGACATAATAATATACATATTATTATATTGTGAAATACAGCTATTATTATTATATTATAAAATAAATAGTAGTACAAAACTAACAATTTTTCACAATTACTATAGTTTTAGTTCATCTTATTAATAAAATTATTAATACAAGTTTTTACAAATTACTGTGATACTGTAATATAAAAATTAGAGCCCGACCGATATGGTTTTTTTGGGGCCGATACCGATACCGATATTAGGGAGTAAAAAAAGGCCGATACCGATACATCGGCCGATATTCTTTGTGTATATTATAGTACAGTACCAGTCAAAAGTTTGGACACTTTCCCATTTGTGTGTCCAAACATTTGACTGGTACTATATATAGAATATAGTATATACATAAACAGAATATATATACATAAACACATTTTTTGCAATGATCACTCAAATGTGGTGATCAAACACTTATAATGGTGACAGAGATATGTAAGGGCATTTAACAATTTAACAATAAACTTGCGATGAGTGCGATGCACAAAGTAACGGGGTGTTAGTTGTAACACACGTAGTTTGAATATTTATTTTACCATAGTAAAATTTTAATTCTGGCTTAAGTAAATTTTTTATCTCAGTTTTTATTATTCATTTAAAATGAGACAAATCTGCTATTATTTTAATCTCCAATCTGTTATTTATCAGTTCAGATAGTTTTTT